CTTTTTTTGCTGAGGAAGACTGGCCCTGGGCTAACATCCATGCCCATCTTCCTCCACTTTATATGGGACGCCGCCACAGCATGGCTTGCCAAGTGGTCATCAGTGCGCGCCTGGGATCCAAACTGGTGAACCCCGGGCTGCCGCAGCGGAGCGTGCGCACTTAACCCCTTGTGCCACTGGGCCAGCCCCTGCAATTTGCTTTTTTGCTCATATTTGTAATATTCACCCATGTTGTTACATTTAGCTCTAGTTGATACATTCTCAGTACTGCAGTTCTGTCCATTGTGTGAAGATATCCCAATATACTTGTCACTTCTGTTGATGGACATTAGGTGTTTCCTTTTTTTTTCCTACATATGCAAAAACTACTTCTTTACTATTTATGTCTACATTTAAAAGAAATTCAGGGAAGATAGGAAAAAAAGTCCCACTACTGGAGGGTTCTGATTAATCAGAGTTAGGAGAATGAATACTGTACTGTCTGTAACAAAAGGGCAGGCTGGGAAGACAAGGAGGACCGATTTGGTGAGTGAGTAGCAGGGCCAGGCACTGGGACACCTCATTATGAGTCCCGGGCTATCCTCAAACAGGCTCATCAGGATCGGGAAGTAGGCTGCTCATCGCCTTTTGGGAACACAACCCACTCCCAACCCAAGCGGGAGGGGTAGTACATGGAGACTGCACGCTTTAGGGTGGTCCTTCCTGAGCTTGTGAGAATTTGGACAGCTAAAGAATGCAGATGAGAGCTGGAAGGAGGTGTGTTTATCCGGAAATTCTAAGCACCTGCAAGGAATTCGTCTTACAAAGAATTTTTCTTTCGAATATGATTGCCCCTCCTACGTATCCTGACCCTGATGACCTTTCTTGAGCAATGAGGAATGAACCAAGGCTTAACCATTTGATGAAAAGCTTGAAAGCACTACTTCATCCGATTCAAAAGCTAAAAGGGCAAAAGTTATATTCAACACCAATTCTGATGTCCACGATGCTTAAAAGGAATTCATAAAAACCAAAAGAGAACATCATGCTTTGTGGCTAATCGTAATCAAAACCCAGATGAGATGATGACATTTTTCTTGGTAAGGAAACAGGTTTCTGAGTTTCTGGCTCTCCATAAAACTCCATGGTTTCACATGAAAATACGTGAGTCAGTTCCTGTGAAGGGCAGGGAGTCTGTAACTAACTTCTATTAACGATTGCTTCACTTCCCTGTCATTAACAGACAAAACTTCCTTGACTGCATGACACTTGGGGAGGAAAGTGAGGGAGGTCTGGCATATTAAAACAGCAGCAACCTTCTCCAAAGTCTGACTTTAATTGGTTTCCTTCTACTACTCTAAGAACCACAGCTTCAAACTGTAACTGATCACATACCATAATCTGATACACAAGCCCTGCAGTGAGGGTACTCAAGGTAACAAGCAGAACTAACCACTGGTATTTAATAGGACTATTTTCAAAATACTTTAATTAATGTTTAAGTGTTTTGAAAATTAATCCTCAAAGGGAGATGAGTGATGTCTCCCTCTCCCTGTCCACTATCAGGTGACCCAAAAGGAAACCTAAATCCCAAAGATTTCCAGAGAGAAGGGTCTAAAGCTGTATTCCCCATGGTGTACTATTAAGCAGTCTGGCCTATCACTTCCTTCCAAGTCTTGAGAGAAAAGGCAAGTACAGAAAAATGCTTCTTTTGTTCTTTTCTTATGGACTTCTTTTAGTTCTTTGAGGGAATCATGTTCTTTCTTACCTTAGGGGTACATACCCATCTGTTCCCTCTTCCTAGAAGGCTCTCCCCTGACCCCCTCCTGTTTACCTGACCAACCCTTAGTTATCCTTGAGTTCCCAGTGAAAACATGGGTGTCTCAGGAAACCCCCTCCCTCCCCTAACCACATGATCAGGTCTGTCTGTAGATCCTTCCCATGGCTCCTTGTATTTCTTCTTTGTAGCTTATCACTGAGTAATGGTTTGTTAATGTCTGTCTTCCTCCAATAGACTCTAACCTTTGTGAGGACAGTAATCACATCCATCTTATTTATTGCTAAGTTCAAAGCACCTAGCAAGGTACATAATTGGAATTTTGTTTGCTAAAGAAATGAAAATATCTCATGCTACAGAAAGCTTGTGATTCTAGAAACAAAATCGGAAATATAAAAAAACTTTCAAAAGCTCTTTTCCCTTTGGTTTACATTTTTGTCTTTGTTCCTAGGAAGCACTTGTTTAGAAAAAGTGCCTTTTCCTTAAGTGTTTTTCTTCCCATGGATTTAACGCCTTGAAACCAACATTTATTCCCCTAAAACTATCAATGATCTCCCTCTATTGATGCAAGGCCAAGGAGCCCTTTTCCTTCTTCACTAGTATCAGGGGTTCACTTGATGCAGTGGGGTCTGCTGGGATTTTCCCACGGGAGACATCAGGAATATCAAATGGTTTAGAGGACCACAATCAAACTGCGGTCTCAATTGGCCATGAAGTCTATTCTTATAGAATTTTTACAGTTAAAGTTTTATAACTTTTATGCTGAGACTGACATTTCTTCAAACTCTGCTTCATATTACCTCCTTAACCCCAAAAGCCCAGAATGAAGAAAGATAAGAAATACGAAGTGTGCCTGGAAGGAAATGTGACTGGAAACTGGCCTCTTTTTCTTAAAATTGTACCTCACATATAAACACAGTACTGAGATAAAATGAGTTACCAAGCATCTACCATGTGCAGCCTGTGCCACTAAGAAAAGGCTGACAAATGCTGCTGCCAGTGCATTGTGGCCTCTGGTCATAGTTGGGAGAAGTTTCCCCTACAGCAGCTGTCCCAAAGACTGAGTGGGGAAGTGATTTTTGATGTACAATACCAATATTTATTT